AAACCTAACTCTGTTTGAATCTGTTCTGGCAGGTTTCATCACATGGCAGGCTGACGTGAGTTATGGTGCATAGACTTCATGTCAGCAAGGTATATGCACATTGCTATTACATTTTAAAAGCCCACTGGACAACCGTATACATCAGATTCAACATTCAATATTGATTTTAATGAATACCTTATCAGCTATCTCCTGGGTGACGCTCAGAACTCTCCTGGAGATTTATATCTAATTCCTGGAGACTCCAGGGCAATCCTGGAGGGTTGGCAACCCTATAGCAGCCCACATCACTCCTGAAAGGATCTCAGGGTACTCCAGGGTGTCATGGCATCCTGGCTGAGAAGCATGGCTCTAAACGGTGGTGTAAGATAATGTATTTCTCCCTATACTCATAATAGGCAATATCTGTACTATGTATCAGCAAACATTGAAATCCTAATGGAAACCACTGCGCTGATGAGAGATGAGTTAGCATATCCAGAAGAAGTCACAGAGGGTTTTAGGTAGGTTGAATATGGACCTGGGTAATAGTGACAACATGGAATGAGTAGTTCTGATTCAGGTAGTAGATTGGACTAGATGACCTCTCAAGGTCCCTTCTAGTCCTACTTCTCTATGACTCTGACATGTAGAGTGATCTAATTCCCTCTACCATTAAGAGAGTCCATCCATGAGTAATGCCTTAGGTTCCATGCCAAATTTCTCCTGTGAGTTGCTAAAAGCCTCTAATTTCTATTAAAGTAAATGGATATTGAGTGTTCAGCACCTCACACAATGTGGTGTTTGTATCTACCGCCAGGATTGCAGCAAACAATTCTCATTTATTTATTTATGTAAACATTGTGCAAAGTTGCAGTCCCCCCATGAAATCAATGATTCAGGGAGAAAGAATAACCCATCATCAGTTTTCTCCACACTCAGTAACCTCAGCTAGTTTTTAGAGGGATTAGTGGATGTAAGTTCTGCTTTGCATCCATCTTTTCATTAAATGCATTTGCATACATCTTCACACATTTTAGGAGACAAAGGCTTACACTGCTTTGATTTTCTGGTCAGCTCCCATAAATATTTGTCATTAACTGAAGTGAGCTGCTTACATTTTTGGGGTGGCATGTGCAGGGGTTTTAGCAATTCTCAAAGGAAAGGGAAAAAAGACCCAGCAAAAGTATTTTCTAGGTTGGCCAAATACTGATTGATTAGGGCAGAAGTAAACAGCACAGCAAAGCCCTATTGTGTGGGTACATGCACATTAATACAGTGTCTGTATACCTATAGCTGACTGGTCTGTCTGTCTTGTTTGATCCATCTAGAAATTGGGCACTAACCTTTACGTTTACCTCAGTAATGGGAGATCAGTTTTCTGATGTCATAGGTGAAGCTATAACTTTCTGGTACATTGGCTACTTTTGTATGTGGACTAGGACAGTGCTGCACCTTGCAGATTAATACAGCATGCGATGAAATTGCAAGGGCCATGGTTTGTGCACTGAGAGCCAGAGCTCGAAGTTGAACTGTGCTCAGCTTAGTGCTTTGCCATGGCCCAATGCTTTGCATTGACTTGCTAGAGCACAGGTTGTCAACTGGGGGTACATGTACCCCCTGGAGTACTTAAAAGTTGTAAGGGGTAGGCGCAGGCAGGTGAGTGGGGATGGAGCGCTCCCTGGGGCATGGCGGCAGTGTCTCCCCCAGCGCGTTCCCATGCTTTGCCTCTTATCTGGGGGAGAGAGAGGGATGTGGTGGGTGCCGCTGGCTCCACACAGCACACTGCAGTGCCTCCCCACCCTACACTCCAGCTCACTGTCCTGATTGGCTAGAGCCATTGCCACCTACCCCAAGCGCAGCCCGGCCCAGCCACCACCAGGAAGAGCCCAGCACAGCCCCAGCCTGCAGCTGTAGCCCATCCTACCCCCGGTGCAGATCCAGGGGCACAGACCCCCCATGTCCTCCTGGGGTGTGTGTAGCAGCAGGAGCTGCCACCCCCCATGCAGCTCAGTCCCGCGCCCCACCCCAGCTGGGCAGTCCCTGCCCCAGCCTCACTCCCTCCCTCACTTTCTCTGTGGCTGGGTTGAGGGCGCAGATTGAGACCCCTGCAGGGCAGGAGGGAGTGGGGCAGGGGCAGAGGTGAATCATTCACCCCGGTCCCTGCCCCACTCCCTCCAGCACTGTGGGGATTGTCCCATGACCTGACCCAGCCGGGGCTCCATTCATTGTGAGGTCATGGGATAATTGGAGCCTAGTGGCTCATTTAGGGGTGCAGGCAGGAGGTTCCCCCTGCTGTGCACACCACAGGGGAGCCAAAGGCGGACATAAACTCCCCACCTTTGACTCCCCTGTGCCCTGCCCCTGGATGAGCCATCGGGCTTCGATTGTCCTATGACCCGGCCTGGCTGGGGACCCATTCGCAGTGAATGGAGCCCTGGTCAGGCCAGGTCATGGGACAATCCTCACAGTGCAGGAGAGAGTGGGGAAGGGGTGAATAATTCGCCCCTGCCCCTGCCCCACTTCCTCCTGCACTGTGGGCATCTTGATACCCAGCCCCAGCCCCACTCTGTCTCTCACGGCCATGTGGGGGGAGGGCAGATCGAAGCCCCTGGGGTGAGGGAGGGAGCAGGGCAGGAGCAGAGGCTGGGGTGAGTGGGGACTGAGCCGGGCAGGGTGGTGGGACTCACCACAGATGCTGTTCCTGCCTGTGCCCTGCTCCCTCCCTAATCGTGGGGGCCTTGATTTGTGCCCCCCACGGCCCTTTCCCCTCCTCTTACCCCTTCTCCCACAGACTTGCCTCCTGGGGGTGGTGCCTGTGCAGCCCCTCACCAAATAAGTTTTTGTCCCTCTGCCTATGCAGCACCTGCCCTAGCCCCAGCCCCAGCCCCACTCCCTCCATCACTGGGGGGACCTTGATCTGCCCCCTGCTTTAAAAACAAGAAAAAAATAGAAAGGGGTACCCAAGCTGAAACTTTGAGACTGAAGGGGTACACTTGCTAAAAAAGGTTGAAAACCCCTGTGCTAGAGGAAAGCAGCTGCATACCTAGGCTCGCTGTCTACTTGGGGGAACCTCCCACCATTAGGCTCTCTCTGTGTTGCATAAAGGCTTCACCTCCGCTGAGGTGTATTGTCCTAGGCATGGCCTATGACTTGGGAGAAGTGAGCATGGCTGGATTGCTGGTGGTGAGCCCCAGCTCAGAGGATGGTCCCTCAGAGCCGGGGCAGCCAGGTGCAAGCTGGAACATCCTTCGGGGTGGGTTATCCAACTAACCTCCAACACCGTTTGTCCCATTTTTATATGGCTGTCCTTAGCTTATTTTTCTGAGAGGAATGACTCGAATCACATTTACCCCAGTCGCAGAGCTCAGATTCTTCACGCAAGTTAGACCTGATCATTTTTGTTGCGACTAACAGGAGCATCTTTTAAGAAACCAGCCCCCGATGCCCGTTAGTGTTTAGCTATGGAAGGACTTCAGTGGCTCTTTGTCTGTTGCCATTTAGCTAAAGGCAGGCTGAGATTTGTGTTATAACCTGGGCGCTGGGCAGAGTGAAGACAACACAGGTTCTGTCCCCAGGAACTTGGAACCGAAGAGCAAAATGATAGAAGTTAGCTATTTTCAAGAGGGAAGAGCAATGCAGAGCTGATTGAAGAGGGGTGACACTTGGTGATATGGTGGCTTGTTCTGCCGGCCTCCATCCTTCTTGGGCATGGACGAACTACAGCTCTAGCAGTCACTGTAGAAGAAGAGAGGCTCCCTATAATTTCTTGCCCATGTTCTGTCCTAAGAATCAGCCAGCATGTGATCCCAGGTAGGCAGAACAAGCACAAAGGGCTCCCTAGGGAACGCCCAGATGGCTCATAGTTTTCCTTGTGCCTAAGTAGCAGGTTCTTGTGTATCTAAATCCATGGACATATCCAATGATCCATGCAGGGAAAAGCCCAGCTCCTGCAAATAATAATAAAAAATGAGGATTTTATGAGTACAGCACACTCTCTTGAACTGAAATGCAAGTCTAATCCTTTGCTGTGGATTGGAGCTAGGATAGAAGTCCCAGGCATGGAAGTTCCTTCTAGGTACAGCCGTTCATTTGTGTCCATCTAGATCCATGCTTTTCCCTGTCCCCCATTTCTGTTTGTGTAGCCAGGGCCATAGTGACATCTCATCTCTGTATATACAGCGCAAGGGCAAAGTTACCAGACCTGGCTCTGAATGCTCCGGCTCAGGACGGGAAACAGCGCGGTGGTGTTGACTTCGCATTGCACCTGTGCCGATGAGCCCTGCTGAGAAGCGGGGCTTTTAACCCTGGGCACTGCTGTGTTAATGTGGCTGTGCTGCTTCTGGTGGTGGAGCCAGCTCAGGTGTCTCTGCATGGCACTGCTTTGCACCCTGTAGGCTGTGGCGTGGGCGGTAGCAGCTTTACAGCCACGTGCCATGCGTACATACGCCTCATCTCTTGAGAGGTCTTTGACAGCACCAAAACAGGAGGCCGTGCCCCTGAGACTGAGCAGATACACATCAGAAGGAGTAACCAGCCTAAAATATGTGTTGTTATTTCCATTATTTGATCGTTATCTCCCTTTCTTGTAGCCACTTTTTCCTCTGTGGCATCTTGTTGTTACATGCAGTTTAGTACGATTCCAGGCCCGGCTGTCTCCATGGAGATAAGAGTAGATTTTGTAATGTGCTAGTTATTCCAAGTGACTAACTGTAGCAGACAGTTCATCCAACCTTTCCTTTCTTGTTACAGTTCATATGTCATAAAGACTAACTGTACTGTGCGATGTATATGCAATTCACTTTATATTTAATCTGCCGTCAGAGCTCTCTTGAAGGCAGTTCATTTTGCCATAGGACCCCCCCAACAAACAGATGTTTACCAGAGCTCCAGCTTACACATGGGTTCTTTTCCCAAGAAAATGTTATTAGGACATTTTGAATCTGCAGCATGGGATTTGTGCTCTTGCTTTTCTGGTTTGTTGGGAAGCAGCACGGACTCCCTAGAACAGCGGTTTGCAGCCTGTGGTCCGCAGACCCCTGGGGATCGACAGACTGTGTCGAAGGGGTCTGCGAAAGATGACTATGATCAATCAAAAATATATGAATACCCACTTACAATTTGAAGGGGTCCACACCTCCATTCAAAATTTGATAGGGTCTGCAACTGAAAAAGGGTTGAAAACCAGTGCCCTAGAAGATGCGCCAGGATCAAAGGGAGTATTTCTGTGTGAATGAAAGCAGCCCCCCCTTCTTATCACTTTGATGAGATACTTTAACAAAAGCCGCAGCAGGTATTTCTCTTTTTGCATTCAACATGGGGGTGCCCAGCAAGGGATTGGATTTAAAATGAAGTTGACTTTTAATAAGCTTTATTGCTGTTAGGGGGTGTGTAGTTCTGGAGGAAGCCGTATGACTTGGGGGAGATGGTATACAGTCTTATATACATCACTCTGGAAATCCACCTGTGGCTCTGCTTGCCCCAGGGCAGAATCTGGCCCTGTATCTAGATTATGGGTCCTAGTTCTTCCCCAAAGCCGCCTTATTCTCCTCCTGTCCATCTTCTCAGCAAACAAATGGAACAAAGTCATTCCTGCCACAACGTCATTGAATTCAGTGAGCCTATACTTGGGATGAACTTGGCTTATCCTTTTTGATTGTGCTACATGGTCTGGCAATTTTATGGATATGGGTTATGGGTTAAAATTTGGTTGACTGCAGGGCAAACCAGGTTTGGATGCTAGTCTTGCATGACTAAAAACTATCTTATTCAACAAAAGTCTTTTTGTATTATAAAATATTCTCAGGAGGTTGGTTTTACTATCAGGGACTTCCTAAATTGTATTTTCTGTCTTGGGTTATAACAAAGTATGGGGTTGCTGCACAATTCTAAATGTATTTATCCTCATAGTTTTCCCACCTTGTAGGGTGGTGGGGTGCCCATTGCACAGATGGTGAGCTGAAGCAGCTGAAGGCTAAGCTACTTGCCCAAAATCATACCAGAAGTCTGCAGACTCAAATCCAGGTCTCTCAAGTCCTAGACCTTGTCCTAGAACCACAGACCACTCTTCCTCTGCTCATTCCTGCATGTCCAACTCAAACTCTTGCAGGTGTGGAAGGGATTAGTTGCTCACTGGTTATTGCGAACCAGATGGGCTGATCACCTTTGAAGCTTGTGTAGGAGAATACATTTTTCAAAGGCTTCATTCAGGCCAGACGTTTTTGTGCGGGGATGTGTCCCAGCCCAGGTAATTCTGATTGACTGGCAGGGGCAGACATCACCCGGTGCTGTTGTCCTTCAGGACTAGGTCCTGGACCTGGGGTGTGCACCTGCAAGTGCAGATTGGGGAACTTCATGGGCTGCAGACACATGCCCTGGATGAGGAGGGGCTGGGACTGGGGTGTAAGTGCTGCCTTGTGGGGCCCTTTGGTCCCCAATCCTGCCACATTGCCAGGGACAGGCAGGGACATGCTCTTTGCAGTGCCCTGGACAAACTTACCATACTTTTTGTGGTAGCATATTTTTGGGCTTTCTCCCAGGAAACCTGTGAGGGATGTCTGAACAGGAATGGCTCTGTCCTGGGATATAGTAGTTTTCCCCACCACAAACAAGACATCTGTTTCTACCCTAAGGTATTTTCCTCGCCCATGTGCTTTTACCTGCATTTTTCTCTAATAACCTTTTGGAGATGTGGGTCCTTCAGAGATTAGGTCATGCACCAACTTACACAACAAGGGCATGAGACCATCCCCTTCCCAAAGTACCTTTGAGAATGATTTTGGGTTGCATTGTCCATTTGTTGCAGCTGGTGCACAGGAAATGGAGAATGTGAAAGATGAACATGCTAAGTTGGGGATGGTCCATGTAAGCAGGGAGTTGGACTAGATGACCTCCTAAGGTCCCTTTCAACCCTAATTTCTTATGATTCTAGGACATTCATGAGCAATGTCTTTGTGCTGAGTACTAAATGGTATTCAAAAATATGTTAATCTGTGTGAGTTAGCAACATTTTAATAAACCTATATTTTTTGATCAGGACAAGCCGTCTGTATCTCAATTTTCTAATCTGTAGCACGGGGTGATAATAATTGCTTACTGAATAGGACTGTTGCAAGACTTAACCTTTGAAAGGCTCTGAAACCTTTGATTATAATTGCAAGATGAATAATAATTTAGTCTTTCAGGGAAGTAAATGTGTATATACAATATGGCCCTTGGAATATTTTCAGTTGCTTAAGTCACTACCACATGTTTTAACCTCTGAATATCTTTGACCTTTTGTTTGCTGAATTTAGATTTCTTCTGTCTGATGCATTATCTGAAATGGCTACTCTAAGGTTAGCAAGGCTCCTGGAAGTACACTTGTTAAGACTGACAGAATTCCTCCAGCAACATTAATTACTGCCTGGAGCAGCTTGAAAAGGGCAGAGAGGAGCTGGCATGTCACTGAAACATCAGTGTTACAGCTCAATTTCTATGAAGCTCGCACAAGAGGAATATATTTCTCTGTTGTATGTAGGAGTGAATTGGGCAATTTTAACCTCACTGTTAAGCAGGATGCTGCTAAATGACAGTTTGTTTTCAATTACATTATCCTGTATTGTTGTTTTTAAATTGCTTAAGATTTCTTTGATTTTTCTGAGAGCTCATTTTTAAATCCAAGCATTCCCAGGTCAAATGAAAATGATGCAGCCATGCTACCACCTGCTGTTCTTTTATCTTAGCAAAATGCAATCAGTGATGAAGTGTTGTGAAGTTAGTTGGTCTCTTCTATGAGGCTTTATATCCAAAAGATCTGTCATGAGCCTTGATGTTTTGTATTAGTGGTCTGGGTTTTGGTGGGTGGTTTCTTGGGGGATATTTCTTTCAACTTGCTGCTCAGAGGGCGCATCTACATGTGCCCCCGACTGTGCGGTAATGGCATTACTTGCAGTCCCAGTAGTGCATGGGTCATTTCCAACCCTACTGTTCAGTAGTTCATTGCTACCGTGCAGTAGTGTTGGCATCATGGTTCATGCCTGCTGATGCTACGTTACCGTAGCAATGAGCTACATCACCATAGCTCATCTCTACGGCAACATAGCATCTTGTGGAAGGACCAGAGTTGATTGGCTGCCACCTTGCACCCTAAAGGTGGCTGCATTTTAGGTGTATGCACAGAGCTAGTAAAGCTGCTTTGGGGATGAAAAAGCGGAAGGGTGTGTGCAGAAGTTGCACTTAGATTGACATAACTGGGGTTAGGTCAATCTGAGTGACCATCTGTACAGACTTTGCGGGAGGTTGGGTAGGGCAAAAAATGCCTGGTATGATCTTAGTTCACTTGAGGAGGTGAGCTAAGTGGGAATGGGTTAGTCAGATCTACTGAACCTGTGTAGATGTTTGAAGCACAGCCCTGGGGTTGAGAAAGCCCAACTGCTCACTCCAGCCCTGGGGCTGTGATTTTCCAGCCTCTCTTCCCCCAACCTGACTAGGCTATTTTTAGCTCCCTCAACCCCCTCCTCCCCAACCATGGACCCACCAACTCTCCTCCCCACCCCTGCCTTGGACCCACCAGCCTCCCCACCCATCTCTTCCCCTGTCTGATTTAGACTAGGTTTCTTGTGCAGCTCCTAGCACCCGTGAACATGTACAAAGCCACTCCTGCTATATGATTACTTGGCTTT